ATATATATATATATATATATATATATATATATGTACATATATGGTGGTATTTGCGATCTAAGACTTGGGTAGTATAATTGTAATAAACAAAGTTCTGGTGTTGGAATGGTTTCATCGCTCTCGCTCTCGTTTTGCTAGGGTTCGCCTATGGCGAACCTTGGATTCACTGATTCACTGATTCACTGATTCACTTTACCTTCATCGATTTCGTCTTTCCTCATCTTTGTCTTCGTCGCTTGTTCGCCATCGCGTCGCAGCTACTCGTATCTCGTGAGTCATCCCGAGAAGCGTGGGCTTCTTTTGCGGCTCCTGTCATTGCTCGCAGTACTGTGAAAGACGTCTAGGCGCGAGCTTTCCTCTAACACGAATTGCCCACTGCTCGACTTCCTTTTCGACATTTGCTCTTTCTCTACTGTCACTTTGCTGTCCCACATACCACCTTCCTCTTTTGGGGATGGCTTCGGATAGATCGTATGCTGCTACCCTTGCTAGTGTTCACGTCTTAGGTACACGTAAATCGCCATCTTTTCCTCCTTCATTTGAGTAGGCAGAGGACATCAAGAAGCTTGATTGGAAGAATGAGAAACCTGCCATCATTTTTACAGAAGACGATATCATTCAACTTGCTTCCTTCTGTCTTCTGAATTTGGTTGAGAAATTTTTATATGGTCATCCCAAAATGGAGCTCATTCGCAAAGAATTTGGACTTATGCACCTTGTTGGAGAGTGAAAATTTGGACTATTAGATGGGAGACACGTTCTTATTCAAATTAACAATGAAGAAGATTACATACGCTTATTTGCTAGAAAGATAATCTGGATTGATAACAGAGCAATGAAGATTCTGAAATGGTCTGTGGATTTTGACCCATAGACGGAATAACCAATCATTCCGGTTTGGATTCGCCTCCCTGGTATGAAATTTCATTATTTTTCTCAAAAAGTATAGTACTCTATTGCTTTAGCTTATGAAAAGTCACTCAAAATAAGCATTCCTACTTTTAATCTTTCTCGTCCATCTGAAGCTAGAGTACTTGTTGAAAGAGACATCACTTCACCCGCTTTTGAGGAAATCTGATTGAGCTCACAACACCATGAATATTGCTAGAAGGTAGAGATTGAGCTTTTTCCGTCGTATTGTTTTAACTGTCGTATATTTGGCCACTCCAGTTCTCAATGTCACCATCTACACCCTCACCTCAGACTAAAAAAACAAAGTGCTCCACTCGAGGCTATGTTTCTATCTCATCCTAATTTACACCAAGTTTTTGACACTATTGATCATCAGAAGGGTACAACGGAAGATGTCAATATCCCCGTATGCAATATGACAACCATTCATTCCCCAGTTGTAGCTCCCCAGTCTTTGGAACCTCCTATCGTAGGGGAGGGAGATTCTTCAAACTCCACCTACCATAGAGCCTATCGCCGATAATACATGTATAAATACTTCTACCGCTTCACTACCGCCTCATTAAGTCCAGAAAGATGTTAATGTTACTCAGGCTCATGAGAATCATGATGTGCAACGACCTACACCTGTCCAACCACCTTTGGAATCTACTGATCAGACGAGTTAATCTTCGGATGAGAAATGACAGGTCTACACATCCCGGAGGAAGAAGAATGGAGATCTACTCGAGCTCATAAATCTGATGGATGATACTTTGGTTACTACGGGCAATGATACTCACTTTACCAATTTGTTAACCGGCTCACTTCCGAGAACTCGAGGCAGGAGGACTAAACTAGGACGTCCCCAGCACTTTTGTGCCATTTTGTGACTTTTTGGTTTTTTGCCTTTACTTTTCTGCCTTTATGTATCTTTACTTTATTTGGGTTTTGTGTGTGTTGTATTATATTAAGCTTTCTTTTAGGCCCTCTCATACAATATTTTTGTATCTTTTCCGTATTAATATATTTGCCCTTAGACTTTTAATATATACATATATATATATATATATATTCATAAAAGCCCAAAAAGGCTAATATATTAAACAGAAAGAAAGATACAAATACAATATGTGGGAGGGCCCAAGCATGACACCCTGCCCACACAAGAACAACAAATGGTTCTAAAACTAGAAAAAATAGAAAAATACATTAGAAACTAAAATAAAAAGCTTAACAGTGTCGAAATACATATTATCAGGTGGCCAGAGAGCGACCCAATTTGGTATTGCCTCTGCCTCTAGTTCTAAGGTAGGAGCAGGCTGATAAACTGATAAGATGATTGCCATTGCCAGTAGTAACCAATGTGTCATCCAATATGTTTCCGAGCTGGAGTCAGCCTCCATTCTTCTTCTTCCTCCTGGAATAGACCTGCCATTCCTCTTCCAAAAAATCAGTCTGATGGAGTGGTAGAAATGAAGCAGAAGGATTACCAATCGTATTACCCACAATAGGTTCTAGTATATGTGAAGTATGAGTTTCCTCTAGACCAAATACTTCATGAAGAAGTGGAGCTATGAAACTCTCTTGATTATCAGTCTGAGCACTATCATTTGTAGGTAATAGTCCATTAGTATTATTTTTTATGGAGTTTGAAGGTGTTAGCATCATATCACTCGCAGTAACAGTAACAACAGTGTCATGGGGGGTTTCTCAGGGACAATAAACACCTCCTATCTGGTAGTATCCTCCCCAGGTGGAACTAAAATGTCCAGAGAGTGGGGTTAGACCCATCCTTATTCATTTGAACCTTAGATTTCAAATTTGGATGAAACTTGTGGCATTTATCAAGGACATGACCAAACATCTTACAGTGGGTACAATATGGGGGTCTGTGCTCCATGACGATTTGTTGCCAATAACCATTATGGGTTGTGCCCAGCCAGACTTCAGTAACATCAGATACTTGCATTGAGTAGTTCACATTCTGTGAATTGTTAATCCTGTGGTAATTTTTGTTGGAATAACTTTGATTAGTTCACTTGCATTGTTTCAGATACCTTGGTGTGCTTGGCACATTCGTTGCTCATGCTTGTTTGGTGAATTGGTCTTTCATTTTGTGTGTTCGAATGAGCCTTTATGTAATACCCGAGCATTTATTACATGCTCTAGAGATGATTTCTTGTTCAATTTGATGGGAGAAGTGTGTTGAGTGTGATGGTTGTTATGATGATTGTTATGTTGCCTTGGGGTGTTGGTGGCTTTGGGTGTTTGTGGATGTGAGTGTGTGTGTGTGGATGGCTGTGGGTGATGTGTAGTGTTTGTGGATGTGAGTGTGTGTGTGTGGATGGCTATGGAGGCTTTGTTGGTGGCTGTGGGTGATGTGTATGTTGGTAGCTTTGGGTGTGTGTTGTGCTGTGCTTGGTTTTGTGGGTTGGTGGTGGATGTGAGTTTGTGTGTTGATGGCTATGGAGACTGTGAATGTTGTGCTTGTTGGTGCCATGTGGAGTCTGTGTTGGTGGAAAAATTATTCCATACGTGCAGCATATGCAAGGCTGCATGCGGAAGCCAATAACAAAATACCATGTGGAATGTCTCCACAATCGTAAAAATTATATTATATTGCGTCCGACCCGGCTTGAGTCCTGCCCAAGGACAAAAAAAAAACGCAGTTTTGTTATTTTCGCTTCCGGCCAATCGGAAAAAAAGTCATATTTAGTCTCCTTTCGGTTTAGGGATTGAGGATATTCTCATTTCGTTGTCTTTCTAGGGATCCATTCGTATTCGGTGGATAGGGTTCGATGGAAGTATTTTTTGACAAGGAAATGATGCTGGAATCTCATGATACTTGCGAGAGACATGACAATGAGCTGAAATCTCAAAATATTTTCGAGAATCATGACAAGAAATTGAGTTTAGCTGCGGCAGAAGGGATTTGACAGGTAGGTTATATTTGTTTTACCGCGGATTTGGGTTTTAAGGAATATTTGTCTTGTTGATGAAGTTTACTATGTTTTTATCCGATGTGTAACACTAAATTTCGGTTAGTGTGGGACGTGGTGTTATTTAGGTAATATCACGGTGCTATACTGGTTGTTTT